TCTTTGGTCTATAGTTGTGTAACGAGCCTGTCAACCATCACACCTTCATGTAGGCACTGACAATCGTATGCGCTTTCATGAGTTGTGACCAGTGTGGCTGACACGTCTTCTACTGTCATCCCAAGTGCAAGAGAAGTTCACCAGTTGTCGTTTTGCTTTTTCAATCGAAACAAGTTCACACCTCATTCTGCATAGCTGCCATTTTCTGGAGGCATTCACAGCTGAGGGGCATTCACACTTCCGGAGTTGGTGTTAAAATCTGTGTTCTGACTTTGTGACTATCACAACCAGATCACTTAAGGGACACACATGTCTTGAAAGGACAGTCCAGCCATTGTAGTAGCAACTAAAAACAAGCATTTTCTATCAAATAATATATTTTTGTTGCTTTACAACTCTCCTGCAGTTTCTCTGTTGGCAACACGTGGTTGATCTGTTGAATTCATTCTATATCATTCTGCAGGGCATTCTGTCTTCAATAAAGTTGGGCTCTGATGTAATCAGGCTGTAGCAGATGGCCGTAAAAGGTTTGTCCAGGGTACACCTGAGACTCCCTGAGCTTTGTCATCCGTAACCATTGCTATCCTGTAAAAAGAAGGAGAAATAAACAGATAGATGGCACTGAGGGGCTGTCTGGTCTGTACAAAACAGATGCAGTCAAGCAGAATGGTCATTTTTAAAGGAAAGCGTGAGCCAGAAAGAGGTCAGCATTGATGACCTGTCCATGTGTGAAGCAGATGGAGGCGCCTGTCTTTCTTTTCTCAGCATCATACCTTATCCTTGAGCTATGTCATTAAACTCTATTTCTTACGTTTACCATTCTGAAGCATAAAATGTGATTGCACTTGTTGAAAGAGCAGGTGGTATTTATGGTGCCTTGCTTTTAACCACAGTAAATCAGCTGTAATGGTAGCCCTCTCTCAGCAGTAATTTTTAACGCAAGCCATGGCAATTGCCTTTGCCGTGATAAATCAAAAGCTTCCATCTTCGGCTAATTCCCCACTCTTTCAAAAGAAAGATGGGAAAGCTTAGATTGTTATGACCTGAACTTTAACCCACCCTGGACAAAAGCTGGCACAAATCTTTTGGGATGCAGCTAATAACCCCAGTGAGTGATACCCTGGCATGGAAGCAAGTTTGCCTCATGCTTCATCACTCTTGACAGTGGAAGGGCAGTGTTGCAATGCATTGCAGATTTCCCCAACCTTGTGTCTGTGTGACGGTGCTGCATGTTGCATGGATGATCGAAATCTCCGATACATTCTCCACAGGCAGACACACACTGCTCAATCCTCTGTCTTGTCGAAGGTGCTGGTCTCTTTGCTTACTAGCCCCAAATTTCGAGCTGTTTTCCCGGGGACATCTGTATGCATCTCTTTGCAGAGGTAACAGTCTGGCCATCTGGCTGTCCAGGCCTGATTCGTGCTGACAGCATCTGTCTACCTCAGTGTTTGGCTTCCTGGACATGTCAAGACACATTCAGCCCCTATACCCTCTGGCTTGTCTACCAACAGCTTCATTTGACCCTCTCAGTATACAATGCAGTTCTTGACAGCAGATGCCTCTTGACATGTTTGCACAATGAGGGGAGACATGCCCTGAAGGATACACATGTCAATCATAATATATCAATCACTATAGTGTTGAAGATCTTCAGGTAGATTTATTAGAAATGTGTTTCCCCAAATCGATTCTACCCTTTTCTCTTCCCTGTTTGAATGTGTTTGTTTGAATTCTGTCTAGTCACACGTTGGCTCGAATTCTCTGTTTGTCTCACTGCATCAGGTACTGGGAGCGCCCTTGACATATTAGAACATTAAATCTGTATCAGCACCTTTCGCCACCCTTAGAATGTTTCCACATTTCTCTGTTTTCTCAAGTGCATCGAGGAAAATACAATTTTACCTGCAGTGTCTGTCTCTGTCACATCCACTCAGATGTGCAGACTCGTCCACGTTTCTCTCCCTTTTTTTATTACGCCTCTATTCTAGTGGGTTATGCCTTTCCCCAACCATTATCTACTGTATTGATGTGTGTCTTTGGCAACTTGTTTAAGCATGTACACATTAGACGTTTTTTCAAACGTTCGACACTAGGCTTTCCAGGACATACCTTCCTTAATTTGGATGACAGGGACTCATTCAAATATTTTCTGTAGATTGGTAATATCAACATTGACATTCATTTTCTGTGTTCTGATGCCCCATTTATCTACATGTATATGTAGTACATTTTACTCAGATTTCAGGGCTACATTGAGTGCAATAGATTAAACTTTTTCATCCAACCTTTTTCCCCTCTCTTGCTCTGCCATCTCGCTCTCATCTGTTCTCCACTCTATTTCGAAGTAATTATTCCTCATTAATCTACAATAGCTCCCTACCAGTCTATTAATCTAAAGGTCTGAATTGCAAAATGAGTTCTCCTATTAACTCTACATCATTATTCTTTCCATATAAGGTGCTGGGGCTGCTGACTTTCTGTTGTAACCCCTATCCAAACCTCAAATTACCCTTATTAGTGGTTAAAAGTCTCTCCATTGCCCCCTTTCTCCTTCCCCCTACTTTCCAACTTCTTTCAGTTTGTTTTTCACAAATAACACATGTTGTCTGATAGATGCTTATACTCAATTATCAAGTTAGTATTTTAGTAAATATACAGAACTCTGTTCATTAATAAGAGAGATTGTTCCATTTTTGATCCCGATTTTTGTATGTTTGGTGGCTGCTTTACAAACAGAAAGAAGCTTTGGATATCATTTGTTTAGATTTTTTACACATGTAACCACCAGGGTATTTTGTCAGTCATGTCCTTCAGTTTACAAGAATTCTTCCTTCAGTCTTTTACACGATATGGATTTAAAGAAGCAACCTCTGTGGTAGTAGAGGTAGCAAGGACAGAGGACTGAGATAGGGCATGAGGTGTGGATAGATAGCATCCATGTGTTGCGATGTGATTCTGGGCAAAAGGCCTGCTCCAACCTCGTGCCGGTCATTACAGTCTTGCTAATGAAGGAGTGTGAATATGTGATAGAAGGAAGACTTCTGTGTCAAACAGAGATCTCCACTGGTTTAATGTGTTGCACAGCAATTAAGTGAAGGTACATGTTCACCTTTCGTGCTTTGACTGAGAGGGAAATTATTTGATGATTTATTTACTCAACAACTACAGTGTTAAGTTTATTTTGACAATCAATCATAGATTTACTTGCTCAGACAATATTTAACTGCCATTCTGTATTTTGGGGCTAAAGTCAATTTAATGTTGACGGTGGGCTCAGTTTTTGGATTATTTGCTTCCTCCTGAGAAGCTACTGCCTTCAAAAAAATCTAGTGGACTGGTGCATAGGAAGAGAAGAGGAATCCTGCAGACTGTCCTGTACTCGCAAAATGTGTTATTACATTTACAGTTTTTTGGTCCTAAACCAGTCATGCAAGGCCACAAACAAACCGCATTTAATTCGTTCAAATATTTATAATATAATCAGTTTATTTTTTTTGTCAAAGAAAAAAGGATATGAAATTGACAGTCAGAAATACAACTAACTAATGAATCCCAATGCTCTGAGTGGTTTGTGCACTTACACCCAGATGATCCAGCCTCTCAATGGACCTCTATACAGCAGGCCTTAAAGGCCCTTTCCAAGAGTGGGTTTTTCACATAAGTGCAGAGATCTGGCGGTTAACACAGCCATCAGCGCCAGATCTATGTGTGTCCGCCAAGTTATCCTGGTGAAACGCCCCACCCAGTCCGGCAATGAAGATGAAAACTCTTGCCGGCTCTGTGCAAGGAAATAGCTCACCCCTGCTATGCCACTCCATTTTCTCCAGCTGTATCGAGCACTCGGGGAGAGCTGATTGCTGAATGGCTTGGCAGGGCTTCGGGTGTGTCCGTGTCTCATTGTGTGTGTGTCTGTCAATGGTTGATGTCCCACTGCGAAAAGGAGTAAATCCTCTCATTCTTAACCAGCCAGACGTGCTAGCTTATCATTCTCTTTCATCAAGGCCTCTCCTTCCTGGCTCCCTCCGGTTGAACCCTCAACCTTGGACAAAATGCTGCAGCAGTTACCTTCCTGTGAGCGTTGGATTGCTTTCCAAATTTAGCCCAAGAAAGTTGTCAAAAACTGCACAATGAAAACAAAATGCACCCTACTTATCCCTTAATTTAGTTTCTCAATCTGTCATAGTCAGTGTTTGTTGCCTGAATCCCCATTGCTTGCATTATTTGTTTGAAAAGAATGTTACCTGGAGTAGTCTGTCTTTTGTGTACTACTGACAGGAATTTGAGACATTAATTATCCATAAGAGGTCAAGTTTGCTGAGCTGAAACCTGCACTGTTTCTCAAAATCTGTCACAAACAATCGCCCTCACATTGCTCGCTGAGTGATATGGAGACTGACACTGAGTCGGACTCCAGAAACAATCCAGCAGTTGGCTATCAATCTTAAACAAACGTAGCACTCCATACCTGCTATTTAAGCTGACAGATTTGGGGATTTGCCAGTATTTCATTCCTAGCCTGAGGCTGTTTTTGCATTGTTGTGGCAATGACAGGTTGTCCAGCCATTTCTGATTTGTCACCGAGCTCAGACCGCAGACCACAAAGTGGTAATATGGTGAACAGAGAGCTGAAACAATGCCTTCAGGGCAGTTTGAGAGAAGGAGCAGGTTGTCCTTTCCCAGGCTTTTTAAAGATTGAATCTCTTTCTGTTAGTGGGAAGTTTCTTCATGGAGCTGCTGTCATTTCAATTTACAGGTTACAGAACATTTTGGTGAAATAGAAGCAAAGAAAAGTTGTAAAATCTAATGAACTGTGAACAAAATGTGTGTGCAGCAGGTGTTTTTAGAAATCATATTCTCCAAATCATTACTATCCTCCTTTTCCCTGTTGATATGGTGCGATTCATGGGACCAGTGCAAAAAGGAAATCAGCCAGATATATCTCCCTGTTAGACACATTTCCTGACTTCATGCCACTCTTCTTTCTGCTGGCTTTTCAGGTCTACTGACTATGGCACAACCTACACCAAACTCAACCTGATGCCGGGGACGACCATTGTGGTGACCAGTTTCTACATCTGCCCGACCAACAAGAAAAAGGTAGGAGCACAAATTGATGGTTGAAATTCTGTCTGTGGGTTTTTTTTCTCTAAAACTCTCTTTTAGTGGAAACTAAAGCTTTGCTCTCATGTGTTGTAGAAGTCAGAGCTAAAATAATATTTACTCAGACATGCAGGGTAGAAATTGGAAGTATGATCCACTTGAACTAAAGACATAAGGAGAGAGGAAACTCCAGCAGCGAGACACAAACTGTACCCAATCCAGTCCATCAATCACAGACAAGAGTTAAAAGGGTAATTTCCTCCAAATTCAAAACCTAGGCTCAACTATAGCTGAAGCAAGTGAGAAGAAGTTATCCTTTCAGTGAGATAAATTGACACTTTGAACAGATTAAAGCTCCGAGATAAAGGATTTGTGAATGCTAGTTGTTCTGATGATTCCTGGTTTGGTTACTCACTGGAAAATGTAACTCCCTGTGCTTTCCTGTGAAAATATCATGCAAAGTCTGCAGAGACTGCAGAGTGTCTCACTCAGACATCGGCGTTCACACATGCACCTTTTCCGGAGGAACTGCAGAGTTCAGTGCATGTCTGATAGCCGCTTTAGAGGACTTGCGAAGACTTTAAACCCTGGTGTGTTCCCATTCATTCTCAAAAACCCTGGATCCAAAAGTTCCAACAAGGCAGCTTGTGGGGATCTTTTTTTCGACTCGTGCTGCCTGGTAAACACCCACATTTTCCAGACTTCATGACCCTGGATTTTAACATTAGTTTGCTGTTTAAGGTTTGTCTTATCAAGCACAAAGTTTGGTCATTATTATTCTCCAGCTCAGACTTTTTCTGGAGCCACAGAAAAAATTAAACAACAGTTTCACCCGCAGTATAGTGCTCCTCATTAGAAATAAACTAAACCATCTGTTTGAAATTGGTGGAGTGCCCCTTTAAACACTTGGGATGATGGAAAGGTTGTAGTTAGGACATAAGAACATTAGACATTAACGTGCTGGCTTATAACAGGATGCAACATCTGTGTTCTGTATGAGAGCTGTACATGCTTCTCCACATTCTCAGTTTCACCTGTGCTACATAAAAAATACTCAACCCCCCGCATTGGCACTGAATATTACTGTTTGTAAACTGTGTGCTGCAGAATCCTGCAAAATGAATGAACAAGCAGGGCAGGACCAAGACACACACAATGAATCTGCTGAAAGTAACACCTAGACTGCACCAGTTTCCATTTGAATGATTGCATATAAAAGTCAAACCAACAACCATCAGACTTAATTTGAAAGACATCGTATAGATTCTACATCTAGTGATAGATGATTTATCATAGCAGCTTAATCTGTAAATGTCTAAAACACCTCCTTCCTTTGGTAATGTTTCATTTTTGTGCTGTAATGTACATTTTGCTGAGCTTAAATGTCATCTATGCCAATCTTCTGGTATTTATGCACAATTTTATTGGTATTTCTCATACAACACCCTGTGGCAACACGCACAACTCCCACCCACTTTGCAGCTCTTCGATCTGCAGGCAGCCTCTGAGCTCCATTGGATTTTGAAAAGCAAAAGAGAGGTACAGTAGGTGACTTAAGCTGAGCAACGACTGGACTGCCAACCGTGGCAGCCTGTCTAATTGGCAGGCATCATCGCCAGGGTCCAGGGTTCTTCCAATGGATGAAGAGATAGAGGGAGATTAGATGTAGTCACTTTTCTCAGTTTCTGCTCCAATCCCCACTCCAAGTCTGTGAGGGATCTGCCATCTCTTCTTCTTCACTCTCCCTCACACAGAGAGAGAGAGAGAGAGAATAGAAGAGGGATAGACAGCATGAGAGCTTTTAATTGCATGGGAATGGGAGCCATCTTAATTTCCCTAAGGGACAGAAAGAGGGAGAGAGAGTGAGGAGGGGTTGTGACAGTAAGATGTCCAGTAATACGAGCTTGGGATCAAACTGTTGCTTAAGTACACCTCCAGGCCTTGCAGTACGGGTTGGAAGGAAGCTCAGGTTCAGTGCTGCTTGCTAGCATCTATGCGCCTGTTTCTGCCATTGCTGTTGTGGCAAGAGAAGTTGTGTGTTCCGCTCGTGGAAGACTGTGGGTGGTGTGAGTGTGGGTTTATGTAGATTTTGTGTGTGCACCGTTGATCATCAAATACTTTGATCCATCTAAGGGCTGCTGCACACTAGAGGGTTTTCAAATCATGACTGATTTTTAAAAACGTGGGAGACCAAAGACAGATTTATGAGATTTTTCAATTTTATAATCTTCAGAACGCACACACTGGATGATTTGGCCAGAATGTCAGACCACACTTGCCGTTTGCAGGAAATAATTTTACAGACAAACTTGAAAACTCACAGAAACTCGCAATATTCTTTCTCAGTTTTTTTTTTATGGTGGTTGGCAAAGGTGCATTACCTCCACCTTCTGAACTGGAGTTTAATGTGACTAAATAACTAAATATCAGCGTGTAGCCCGTGTTCACCGCAGTCTTTTCAGCATCCAAATAATGAGTGATCACGTTTATAAGGTACCCCCACACACCCACACAACACATATGTGGGTTTACTTTGATCAGTTGTGCTAATCACATCGGACAACAGCAGACAAGCAGGTCTGTAAGCTCTGTGAGGGGATTACACTCAGTGTGAAGGGATCACACGGAAAGGTGTGAGGGGCCTTGGGTAATCAATAGGACTTGAGGCAATTAGAGAAAGAGGTGAGTCTTCAGACGGAGACAATCTCACCCTCTCTTTCTCTCTACCCATCACTCCATTGAGAGCTCCATTAAGGATCCGCTCAAGACCCTTTGGCAGAGAGTGCTCCCAAGGACCCTTGACACACTTCAACACCAATAGAGTCGTAAATAAACTTTGAGACTGGAGGCTCAGCGCGCTTTCCCTCAGCAATTTTCAGTCTCTAGAGGGGGCAAGTGTTTGCACAAGTCTGTTTTCTAGTTAAGAGCTCAGTGTGCAGCCTAAATGAACGTTCAAGTATTATGTTGAAAGTGAAATTGGAACAAATGCTTCCTTACTAAATTTACAGTGTAAACCAGACAGCTATCAACCATTTATAAGAATCACAAAGCTTGGGACAGAATCGTTCGTTTACAATGCTGTTTGAATAATTTAGCTATAGCGATCAGGTTCATATGGGTCTTTTCAAACATGCTTGGACTGTAAAAACGTTATTTTTACAGGTTTTAGCGACTCTGTCAGTAATTTACTGCTCGCCTCTGTGTCTCTATCATTCGCGCTGTGCCAACTGAATCGAGCGCACCGCCATCTCCTCCTCCCGCTCCATACATTGTCTTCTTTGCCTCCGGCGCCGTACAAATTGTTGTTTTTACCTAGACTGAGTTGACACACGTGACTGATGTTTGTGCGGGTGTCAGATGACCTGAAATATTGATCGTTATGTGGTGATCAGTGTTGACATTGTGACGTCATGTTCAATTTGCAGCAGGTCAGAGACGTCAGCTGAGTCCCTCACACAGAAGCTACGCAGTTTAGTCATAGAAATTAACCACTTATAGTGAACAATTTGGCCCAGGAAAAACGTGATCACTATAAGCTGTTTCCACTGTAGTTATTCATCCATGAACTAAATCAGTGTGTGTTGATGGTGAAGCACCAGTGACTGAAAATGCACTTATTTGTGTGGCAGTGTGGTAAAGCAGAGATTCCCAACAATAAAGTGGTACATATACTCCGGGTTGGGTGGTACACAAAGTCATTTGAACCAGACAGACCAAACATTATCTTGGACTGAAAACAGAGTTAGTGCTCAAATGTGATGCTGATAGAAACTGGGGCAATCTGCTCCTGGTGGTGTAACTGAAGCATGTTTGAACTTAGGCTTGATCATTTATGTGTCATGGCACAAACAATACTGCAGAAATGATTTGTAGGAGAATTAATAACAACTTAGTCTTAGACAATATATTAAGTCCATTGGTCGCTAACATCACTGAAAGGATGTGGGCCTCCCTGGGTGTGGATGTTGTTTTCTCTGGTCCATTGCCAAAACATGCAATGATGACTCCCAGCTCAGCGTTGGTCCTTGTTTCCTTCCACCTCGCCTCCCTCCTCTCCCTCCCTGGGGCCTTGATGTCCTCTTGGCAACCTGTGACCCGGACTCTTGCTGTGCTCTGAGGAATTAACTACATAGTCAGCAACCACAAATCTTTGAACTGAAGTATTGTTTACCTTCTCTCCAAACACAGACCTTTGGTCCAATAAACAAGACAGTTCTTGACTTTATGTTGCAGTGCAGCTGGGAGCCTTTAGCAAAGGATGAGTAGAAAATGAATACAGTATATTTGTGTAGAATCATCGCTGGCATCCAGTGCAAGTGGGCTCAAGTGTATTTTAAAGTCAAAGACATTTCTTAGTCCATTAACGGCTTATCCAAATCTGATCCCCTATTTAGATACTAAGCCTCCTGGTATTAAAGCTTATTTTAATGACTAATACACTTACTAAATGCCTATTTTCGCACCTTGCCTCCTTACATCACTGCAGCATGACTCATCTATGGCTTATAAAACTGCAGCAACATCACCACCTCAGCAATTCTCAAAGCAGCAGGGCATCACCTGGAGGAGTACCATCAAGCTCAGGGGGCAGCATAGGCAGACCGTCCTCTGAGTGAGGGTTCTGAATTATGTCTTCAGCCACTTGTCATTATGGCATCTCCTCAAGGAGTACAGCTGATGGTTCCCATCCTCATACCACTAAAGAGAAGAATAGATTTTGATTACAAATTGCGGAGCCGTTTTCAGCTCCATATAAGAGGTCGGATTGGACAGTGCTTGAGAGTGAAGCTCTCCATAATTAGTTACACTCTGTTGATGGTGTTTTTATGATGTGTTTGAGTATATAATTAAATGTGAGTCCCCACAGTTAAATATTCCAAGGTGATTCTGGAACATTAATATTCAAATTGGGCACTTTTTATGATGTTACTCCATTTAAATATCAGCAAAAAAAAGCATGGGAGTGTTATATCTTTTTGTTTATAGTAGCACTATCA